GGGGAGAAGGAGCGGTGACAATCCTGTAATACTAAGAGGCTTCAACTCCCCTAGGACAAGCCCTCAATTGCTAAAGGAGCCTGACCTTTGACAAGAACCAATGATTTCAGCAGTAATTAATAAAACTGTCAAATTAATTAACCCAAGTCTTTGTTCACAGGGGAAAAACACCATCTATTATCAATATTGCTATTTATTAATCGTTGACCAATCTCTTAGACGCAAACCTTCACCACTAGGACACAAGGTCACCACTGACTGATGCTCTAGTAAGGTTCTACCTAGTTAAACTGCCAATGTTTGTTAATAAGCCTTACTGTAATAAGTCCTTTGATAATATGACTAGTGGATTAACTGGGCTCTACAACCTCGTGGTATTTCTAGCAGAGACAGACAGGCCTATGAATCCCAGTGTCCATCACTTATAGTTCCTAAAATGCCTTTTAGATATCCGTTTGAATTACTGTGATGAAACTCTAGAAAATGTTGCAGGATTTCATTAAACTATTTAGTATATGGCTCTGGTTAAAACACTGGTTCCCGTACCCTTGTCTATAAAGGCTGAGTCCTACAAATGCTATGTATACATTTCTATACTATCTCTTTAGAGGGTTCAGAACTATTTCCTTACACCCAACACAGCTTTTATTCCATTTAGAATAATTACCCTCCATCCCATTTCTGACTTTCAAGAAAAACAAGACACTTAATTGACCACAGGAGCTCTCAAGGGCACAGGCTTCAGAGGCTCTACTGGGGCTTGCAGCTTCAGCTGATGTCATCTGCTAGAGAAGCTGACTTCTATTTTTAAATTATACCCTTTTATTCTGCCTTCAAAGGGCACATATATTACACATTAACTTTGCTCATAAAATACCTCGTGGTACCAGGGTGAATCATGCTGTCAGAAGGAGCCTCCAACTACACACAGACAATCAGCCCCACCCATGCAAATCCACCCATCAGCTCCTACACTTCAGCCTGAGAGAGGCTCCATGTGGCCTCACTCTCCAGGTATCTCCTTCTTCCCAGTCATTTTGACAAGGAGCAGATGACTAGCAGGGTTCTTCCAGAAGGCTAGGATCAAGATTTCCTCTCTTTAGCTCCCCACACAAACACTTAAGACTCCCAATGTTGATGCACAGAGCTGTCTGTAGCCTCTGTGCTTCAAAGGGTGCCAGATCATTTGCTCGGCTTAATTTTAAATTTTCATTCATCATGTCTGTCTTGCGCAAAATGGCTCCACTGTTTGAAAAGTTTCCTGACATTTGGGAAATGCTGAAAGAAAGAAAAAGTCTTGGTTGGAGGTGAAAATTCACTTCCAATTTGGCATTTATTTATGTTTATTCTGCTTATTTCTAAAAATAATAAACAGCTTTGTAATTAAAGACTCTATGGAGTCTGCCAGAGGTCAGAACAGTGTGTTTCTCTCTGGTCTATATCCCTCTGTGACCGAGTCATGCCATGTTTCATCTGCTTTGCACTTCTGCACTCCCTGTTCTGTCAGGAAATCTGACTGAGCTGCTGGGACACAAATTTTGCTCCTCCCATCTCCTTCTCAACACTCGTCACTGCCCCCTAATAGATGTCCCTTCTTTGCTAGTCCTGCTCCCCCTCCTGCCCCACTGCTTAGGCACCTCTGTCTCTACAGCTCACCTCACTTGGGCCTGTTTCTAGATGCCATGTTGCATCCACCTTGGGCCTTTGTCCAAGTTGACTCCTCGGCTAGAAACTCTGCTCTGTTCTTCCCCACTCCCTCCGTCTAGGTCCTTCCTATTTGTCCTGGTTTTTTTGTTTTAACTGTTGCTGTGACAATACACTCTGACAAAACCAACCTAACGGGGTAAGGGTTTGTTTTAGCTTATTGTTCAGGGCACAGTCTATCATAGCAGAAAATCCAGGAGGAGTTTGAAACAGCTGGATATATCACCTTCACAGTCAGAAGAGAACAATGGATTCATGTATGTACTCAACTCTCATTTTCTCCAGGACTCAACCCATGAAATGGTACTGTCTACAGTTAAAATGGGTCTTCCCACATCAATTAATGTAATTAGGATAATCCCTCACAGGCATGTCCAGAGACCGAGCTCCCAGGCAATTCTAGATGTCAAGTCGACAGCATGAACCATTATACTGTTCATTCTGTCCTCTGTTGTGGGTGGGGGGTGCTACTTCATCTGGGATTCCCAGGCTAGTTTTGTTTTGTTTTTTTGAGCATCATTCCATCTGAGACAACCATGCAACACATTGCATTGCATTTACTTGTTTTATGCCTGACGGATTGCATGAGACAGGGCTTAGTGCTATGCTATATTCCTCTGTGCTGCTGGCATGTCACTGGGCTTCAGTATCATTTGCTGAATGAGCAAATAAATCAACGAATGCATTCTAAAAATTCCAAATAGGGGGCCATAACCATGAGGTAAAGATGACAACTTTTTCTCCTCCAGAATATGTGAATTCAACCGAACTTCAAGTCCAGGCTTTATCAGCTGAAATGTGGAGAGGAGATAGCACCGAGGAGCTAGGACCTGGAGGACACACTTTGAGCACATCTGGGACCCTGTCCCCAAGGACTTAGGTACCTGAGAGATAAACAGAGACTCTGTTTAAGGTGGAATCCCACTGGGACCAAGAATCTAAAGCTTAAGTAGAGTTAATTTGCAAACCCTGTACAGAATAGAAAACTTTATACTTTAGAGTGTCCCCCAAAGACGGCAGCAAGCCACACGTCGGTCCTGCTACTTCTTACCTGAACCATCACATCTATCAATTTCCAAAGCACTGGAGGTCACTGACATGCAGTGGGAATGCTGAGTGAGCACCTGGGACTATGCCTGGAATACTGCCACGTGACATATAAGTGATATCCAGGGCCAGGCAATGGCCCTGGAGTTAGGCTCTGGAGAGAACTAATGTAGTCCCCTGTCCTCATGGAGGTCCAGTCTAATTAAATACACTCTTGAAGATAGTCTTTCTCAAAAAATATTCTTTTCCCCAAGTCCAAGTCCACCGCATCCAGCTATTAAATTGAATCCAGCACACACAGGATTAGGGAGAAAGGCACAGTTTCAGCAACTACTGCGCAGCAAAGGATTAAGAAAAAACCAAACCACCCATACTTTCCAGAATCAAGAGATTGATGACATTAAGCGATGGGAAACGTTCAAACCAAATGACGAAGGATTTGGTTTTTGTTTCGCCCTTCTACAGCTAGCAACCACTCCCTACCAAACAAACCAAATAAACACAAATCCACATAAACGTCTTCTGCCGTCCAGAGGAACTGTTTACTTGTATTATCTGGCACACTGGAGGCACCCAGCAACTGTGTCCTGAATGAACAGCTCCCAGGCAAGGGAGCACTATGAAAGTGCCTTGGCTGCGTTCAGGTATATTAACTTTCTTTTCTTTGTCTCCTGGTGGGGAAACCACATATTTTCAAGGACTCAGCCTTCTAGTTCCTTGTCTGAACCTTAGGTTAGTTACCTGCCATGGGTATCATTTTCATCCACAAAAGACAAAGTGTGTGTTGATTACAGCAAGCTTTACGGGGACAATAAATAAAGTGTCACCACTGGGCCCTGGAGACAGCTTTGTTTTTCTCTCATTCTTCCTTTTCTATAACACCCATCCACCCCATTCTCCTCAACCCCCAAATAAAATATTAATGACAAAAGAAATGACTGGCCTAATTACAAAGTCAGAAAACTTGCAAACCAGCCTGGGCTCATCAGCATCTAGTTGCCAAACCATAAACATTGCATTTCTTTACTACCACGAAGCCCGATTTTCCTCTTTCAGACGAGTTCCACTCCATCGACATCATCTGTGGAAAACTTTGTAGTCCCACCTTTGTCTGGGCACAGTGGCCTGCCTTCCTGAGAAGGCAGATGCTGACATGCAAAAGACCAGAAAGAGAGGGAGTCTGAATTACAAAACCAAGAGAAAATTTCACTTTGAGAGGAATTTATGTTGCTCTGATATCTAGGTCAAGAAACGGTGACCACTATCTTGAGCACGAGAAGCTCTTTCCATCCCTCTGTTCCCACACTTCTTAACCTCCTGCATACCAGCCAAGGTTCCAGACTCATCATTCCAAAGTGACATCCCTCAAAAGGAATCTAAGCCTTTTAAGCAATATTTCTAATTACAAATGGATCAGTTGAAATGACTAAGAAAGTTGACACAATATTATGTCAAGCCTAAGATTTGGCTGATTTTTTTTTCTTTCACACCCTAAAACACACCCAGTTGCCCAAACAAAGAACTACCAACACTGTACACAACAAAATCATTCCACATGTTCATTAAATACTCAGTGTATGACTGCCACCCAGTGGTAGGATGTATTCCTGTGTGACAAAAGGCTCCAAATGGCTACACTAACACAATGTGGTTTTTTAAAAAAAGGAACTGAAGACTGTTTCTCAGTTGCTTACCAATTCTCCCAGGGAAATTTAAGAGAATATTCATCTCTTCAGCTCTTACTTTTCTCAGAGAAATTTCTGAAGAGGTCGACAGCAGGTAAGGTCAATGCCATTCTAGCTAATCATACAACTAGATCCCAGTGTCTCTGGAGACATCACAAAAGGATTGTTATTATTTTACTAATTTTAACTGAATTAGCAATTAAAAGGACTTGCCAAACAGTCTGTTCTCACCTTCTAGATTTGTGTGATCTACCCTGGATTTTTAGTTATGCATGAAGAGGCATTTGCAAGTGACAACCTTATAAAAAGTGCACATTATATGAAAATCTGACTTCAATTAAAACCAGCTACTAAATCCCAGCAATTTCCAGCTGTCTCTTCTCTTCTCCTTAGAGAATTATATATCACATTAATTGGTATTCTGTCACATTAAAAAACTGTCAGCAATGATTAATTGCATCCTTGGTGTGTTTGAGTTATGTCTTCCTTACCAGGGGGATTCAAATCACACTTGGTTGCCTTCTAGCAGGTGCCCCCTTTTGACAACCCTCAGAAACTTCCTACCTTCCTGAACTTCTCCATTTGCTTGTAGAGGTCTGGATCAAGTTCCTGAGACACGTCCTTCATCCATAATAACGCCCCTCTATATTCTGTCCGGCACTGCTCCATGCGGTTCACTGTCAACCAGGTATCCGAGATGGCCCGATGTCTAAAAGTCTCCACTTCTTGGTGAAATCGACACAAAGGGTTTCGCAAAGCCAACCTGTACAAGAGGACAAAGCTACAATCAAGAAACAAAGGAAAACAGCAGTTTCAATCCCTGACATGTTCTGCATGTCTCGAACACTGTCTAGAACACAGAGGCTTCATCAAGACGTGGCAGATATTAATTAAAATGTATGTGAACTTGGGAATCATCCAGAGATTGCCCACATTCTGATCCTTTAGTTTTTAATGAACTGGGCTGCTGGCAAGCCCTCCATTTGTGTTACAGGGTGGCCCCAGGCCTGTACAGTGTTTGTTTGAAGTTGAAACCAATCTTAGGTCAATGAAGGGCAGTCAAGGCATGACCATTCCTATTTCTATTCCCGGGTTACTCCCTGCCTCTTCTCTTCCTGAAGTTTGGGTCCTATGAGGAGGAATGGGGCAGGCATAATCAAGGTGTCCTGGATGTGGCCATGTTGATCTCCTCAAAGGCCAGAGCACCTGCAGTTTGCTCTAACAGAAACAGAGCTGACTCATGGACCGAAGCATTTTTAAATGATTTGGGAGAGAAGAAGGGCACAGTTACTAAGGGTCAACTGTCTGTCAGTATAATCTGATAGGCTATATGATTCAATCCTCATAAAAATAAAATACCAAACTAGGAGAGATAGTAGGATCCAGGTTTAATCCCAGCAGGAGACAGGAGGTTCAGAAATTCAAGATTAATCTCGGCAGACCTGGGCTACCTGAGGTCCTGGTTTAAAAGAAAGAGAGATAGAAAGAAAGGAGTGGGACAGAGAGAAGGAAAGAAGGGAGGGAGGGAGGATGGGAGGGAGGGAGGGAGGGAGGGAGGTGCAAAGCTTCAGCTCAGTAGTGCACAATTGCCCCGCACGAGCAAAGGCCTGGGTTCCATCTCAAACATTGCCAGTAAACAAACAAACGTCACACCAGAAATGAATGTACACTGTCCAAGTGTAAAATTAGTATAACAGTAGCCACCAGCCATAACAAACTGTTATTTATTCATTAAAAAGGAAGGCATCTCCTAACTTTAGGTAAAATATTTATTTGGGGTACAAAATACTGCTTCTTCCGTATTCGAAACCAAAGAACCAGTGTCAGATGAATTACACTTTGAAAACATAGTCTTTCTTTTGTTAAAGCTTATTTTTCTTTTTAATGTATCCATGTGTGTGTCTGTGTGTGTGAGTGCAGGTGTCTGTTCTTGGTGGCTGGTCGTGAACTCCCTGAAGCTGGAGTTGCAGGTGGTTGTGAGGCAGCTGATGTGGTGCTGAGAATCAAACTCGGGGCTTCGGCAGGAATGACAGACACACACTCAGGCACTAAGCCCTCTCTCCAGCCACAAAACACATTCTTTATGAAGTTTCGGGTATAGGTGCAAACGCTAAACATAAGATGACCATTTAAGATCCCATTCGTGTACCAGGTTACTCAGCCAAAGAATGATGGTGTTAGTGAGCTGAAGTCGGCTCCTGGCATTTCATCCGATGCCTCACCCATGTGCAGAACTCTAAAATTATAAATGCCACAATAAACCTTAAGAAAAAATCTCTTTTGCCATTTTTTCCATGTTTCCTTTTGTCTGTGATGTATTGTTTTAAGTGTTAAATACATCTGTGACAGTAGCTTGCCCACATGACCCTACCTAGATGTCTGGAGAGATGGCTCAGAGGCTATGAGCACTGGCTGCTTTTCCAGAGATCCTGAGTTCAATTTTCAGCAACCACATGGTGGCTCACAACCGTCTATACTGAGATCTGGTGTCCTTTCCTGGCCTGCAGGCATACATGCAGGCAGAACACTATATACAGAATAAATAGATACATCTATATAAAAAAAAAAAGAAGTCTTCTCAAAAAGTCACATCTCTGTGCCATGAAGTAAGTTTGTTTTATACTGGTGGTTTAAATTTAATACTTGCCTTTCATCCAACAGAATGTGTAGCAGAAGCAATGCCTAACAGATAAGTCACTAGCATGAAGGTTTGTAACACAGAAGACTTCTATTTAAAGACATAAACCACCCTCAGATGGCTCCCTGAGGCTGCTGCTCAATTCCTGACTCCTTTTCTCTTCCTTTAGACTGCACATACTTTCCTCCATTTGCTGAAAATGAATATTGAGAATAGAATGCTCTTGATCCCTTGGAATGTTGGAAGTTATCCAGATATCTTTAAAGTTACAATAACATGATGTTTGAAAATAAAAAGGCATACAAAACAACCTTATCTACCCTCATTCCTGCCATCACTGCATAAGACCGTGATACGCAACCTGTGGGTCTCGACCTCCTGGGAGGTAACATATCAGATATCCTGCATATCAGATATTTATGTTATGATTTAAAACAGTAGCAAATTACAGTTATGAAGTAGCAATGAAAATAATTTTATGCTTGGGGTGTCATCACAACATGAGGAACTAACTGTATGAAAGGTTGAGCGCCACTGTCATAAGCTAATTCATGTAAATCAGAATGGTGACAATCCATTCACTGGAGTGTAAGAAAATGAGTTTAGACCAAGAAAAAAATATCATTTTTACTAAATGAAAATATCATCCTCCAATGCAAGACTGGACCACCACTTCATTTATGAAAATCTACCCAGTAGAAATAATTAAAGAACCAAAGGGCTACTCATTTGTCCTTTAGTAGGGAATGGTAAAAAGTAAAGAGAGGGCCTGCGTAAAGGTGGTTAAAAGTGAGTACTGTTCTTGCAGAAGACCCAAGCCTGTTCCTAGCACCCAGGGTGGGCAGGTTAGAGCTGCCTGTAACTCCAGCTCCCAGGGTACTGGATGCCCTCTTCAGACTTCTGTGGGTACCCACAGACAACGCGCTCTCTCTCTCTCTCTCTCTCTCTCTCTCTCTCTCACACACACACACACACACACACACACACACACACACACAAAACACATCCTTAAAAAGAAAAAAGTGAGGCCGGGCGGTGGTGGCGCACGCCTTTAATCCCAGCACTCGGGAGGCAGAGCCAGGTGGATCTCTGTGAGTTCGAGGCCAGCCTGGGCTACCAAGCGAGTCCCAGGAAAGGCGCAAAGCTGCACAGAGAAACCCTGTCTCGAAAAACGGAAAAAAAAAAAAAAAAAAAAAAAAAAAGAAAAAAGTGAAACAGAGGGCTCAAGTGTATCAGAGTACACCCAGGTAATAGAATCCCGTGGAGTTGCTTTTTGTTTGTTTATTTTGGCTTTTTTTGTTTTTGTTATTATAGATGCATACATTGGAATATGAAAAAGTTAGCATTGTTTAATAAAATATCAATTTGCTAAGTTATCATCATACACTATAACATACAAAAACCATCTGCTATGGTGCTGTTCATGCTCAAATCATATTCTGTGGGCTGGAAAGTTGGTTTACCGGTTAAGAGCACGTACAGCTCTTGTGGAGGACTCAAGTCTGACTCTCAGGACCCGTGTCAGATGGCTCACAACTGCCTGTAACTCTAGCTCCAGGGGATCTGAACCCTCCACTGGTCTCTACACTGCACTCATCTGCACTCATGTGCACATACAATTAAAATAAATCTTAAAAAAAAACATTCTAGAATACTCTAAATCATGTTCACTCATCTAAGAATTCAAGTGCAGAAGAATTTCATGTAGTTTTCCTGCTTCCTTTACATTTAGGAGTACTAGGTGGGACGTCATATGGCTGGTGAGCAGCTATGAAAGCAAAGCCACCGTCTAAGAGGCCACCTTCCAAACTGCAGAGTTGGTAGCACCTCATTAAATTAGCATAGACTCTAGTATGCTAGTCTATGGTAGATACTTTCAAGTACCATTTGAATTGTTTTGTTGATTGTTTTTACTGGGGTGTGTGTGTGTGTGTGTGTGTGTGTGTGTGTGTGTGTGTGTGTGTGTGTGTATGAGGGAGAGGGAGAGAGAGATAGAGAGGAGAGAGGGGGGGGTGGATTAGGATACATTAACTTAAGATGCTGTATTTGTACTTTGTGGGATCATTTTGGTCCGTAAATCATCCAGACTGCAACTGAATATCATAATAATTAACAACGTGATTAATAACTAACTCTCCAGGCGGTCTGGGTTTGGACATTGTTTTTCATAAACAGATATTAATTTTGGTGTATGGGCACACTTTTTGTCACTGAACTCAGTGGTACTTCATGCTTAACATATGGGCATTTAACTCTCTGTTTTTCCAGGAATCAATTATCCTTGCCAGACTGGATGAGGCCATATACACACAAGAATTACCGATCAAGGTAATTTTTCAGACTTCTTCTCTTTTCGGTTGGTCTGTTTTAAGAATTAAAGATACAATTCAAGATTATAAGAAAATACTCTTTAAAATATTAAACTGTGGTAGAGAATGTGGAAATGCTATATTCATTTCTGATCATTGCCACTGCCTCCAAGTCCAGGGTCCAAATGTCATTAGCAAAATCCAAACTGTCCAAGATTGGGGTCACTGAAAAGTCTATCGATATTGTTGGTCCCTCTTCGCTTGCTCCATCTTTCTTGGGTTTCCATAGGCACACTCACGTGACTTGCTAATCAATGACCTGCTCTTGCATCACAGGGAGGGAAAGCAGTTAGGGTGAGTGGGGGGGGGGGCAACTTGAGTAAGTGGGTTTCTGAAGCTTAAATAATCTTGGAAACTACCCACCAAACTTTATTTAGCTATCATTTTCTGGGGCTTGTTAGTATGGAAGGAGAGAATGAGTCTCTTTTCTCTGGCACAAAGAACAGTTGTGTGGCACCAAAGTTCAGGATTGTTTAACATAGTCCATAAACATTGGTCATGGTTGTGTTTTGAAATCCAACCGTTCTGTCAAACTTTCACATACATCAGAATCAATTGCAGATCTGGTGGAAATGTAGAGTTAGAGTTAGTAGGAGTGGGGGTGGGGCCTCCAGACTCCCAGGTGCTGCTGCTGGCCATGGGCCTGAGGAGTGTGATCTGGGGGTATCACCACCTCTTTGTCATGAATTAGCCCACAGAGAGCAGAGAGGGAACCTTTCAAGTTGGTCTCATTAGGCTCTTGCTTTAATCAAATGCTGAAAGGGGATCAGACTGGTTGTTATGAACAACTTGAAGGTCAAATACAATCACTCACAATGATTGGCATCTACACTGCCTCCCACAGAGCAGAAGACAAAAAAGATTAAATAGCAAGGAGGAAAACAAATCCTACGTGCTATCTAAATCAGAGGGAAGTGGAAAGCCTCTAAGTACAGAACGTACTCCTCTGGCTTAGGCTAAAGCATTCTAGACTGTGCGATTGCCCCTTATGAAGAAGTGAGTCCAAATTCTCTTTGGATCCCCCAGAGCACAGCCCCAAAGAAGGTCACACACCTTTGCTGGGAGGAAAAGCAGAGGGCCTTGCCGGTCGCTTGCATCATTTTTCCTGCTCGGGTTTTATCTTGGAAGCCTTGGGATCGGAGAAATTTTCCCAGTTCATTTTCTTCTTGAGACAAGACTGACGAAGAAACAGGGAAAGTATCTTTATAACAAATAAAGTGAGAAAGACAAATCCCAAGGCCTCCCGCTCTCCCGAGGCAAAGATTAGAGGAAATTAAATCCAAGTGGCAGGCTGCAAGGTGAGTCCCTCCCCTTCCCCCACCAGCCATTTAACTTCCATGCTGGTCTTCCATTTACAATAGGAGAGATCAAGTTCACTTGAATACATCTGTCAGTGAGATTGGTGCCCTGTAATCAGAACCAGAAAACGACCTCTGTCCTGAAAAGTGAGCCCATAATGCGCTGCTTCAAGTTGAAATGAAGGAGTTGGGTTTGTCAAGGCTGGCAGTGGGGACCTTTTGTGGCTGCCTCCTATTATCCTCTCCTGCTGACTTTTTGATCTCTGCTGTCTGAGTTACACTCTGTCCTTTGTAAATCATCTCAAATCCCTCAACCACGATGAAGCAAGGTGGAGTTGGAAGTGGGGACTGAAAGTGGGTAGTCCATCAGGGTGACCATTTGGTAAATTTTAAAAATACAGAGCTGGAACCAAATCTGAATTGGGTATGCTTAAACTTGGCTTTATTTTTAGAGACAAGTACAGATGGGGCAATTTAGTAGGACAGTGATTTGGCGCATGCTGTCTACAGATTGATTGGTAGAAAATATAACAAGTCAAGGAACTATATGATTCTTCTGCTATTGCTCTTGTACCATTAGGAGCACAGGGTACATTCTCAGGAGGTCACAAAGTAGTCACAAAAATGATCAGCATCATTATTTGTAATAGTGTTCTATCTATTCTAGAGACTGACTTTATAAAAACCAAAGCATTCACAAAAACAGTTACAAAGAGACCCAAACATACACCATCATCAGCACCACAAACACAGGGCTTGAGAACTGAACACAGGACCTTGTGCTTACAATAGAAACACTCTACCATTGAGCTGTATCACTGGTAATGATGTAGCTAAATGGTATGATATATGTGTACCAGTTCTTGTATTGAGGCCAGAGAGGAATGTAGAGTGTCCTGCTCTACCACCCTGTGTTTTATTCCCTTGAGACAGGTCTCTTACCAAACATGGAGTTAGGCTAGAGGTCAGTGAGCCCAGAAATTCTCCTGACTCCACCTCCCAACCTGCCCCAGTTCTGGGGTAACAGGTGCACATGGGGCTATACCCAGCTTTTTGAGTGCTGGAATCCAAACTGAAGTCTTCCTATTAATTTGTTTTCATGTTTTGCCTGCAAAGCAATTGTTTTACCCATTGACCCATCTTTTCAGCTTCAATCTTGGTATTTTGACACAGAATCTTGCTATGTAGCTCAGGATGGCCTCAACTTCCCAGTCCTTCTAGATCCTTCTGCCTCTGCCTCCTGAATATTGAGGTTACAGGTGCATACATACATATAGTCTGTCTCTGTAACTACATCTGAAATGTTACAAGAATTTTTGTTCATTTTCATGAGTCATCCAGACTGTGGCAAGAAGGCCATGACTGAGAAAAGGGACAGGTTCCTATTAGGGACTTTCTATAAGGCAAGTCTGTTCAAGACAGAGAACAGTGTCCCCTCCAGCCAAACAGCCAGTGGTCCAGTGATGTGAGTGCAGTCAAGCAAAATTAATCACAATGGGTTTCACAGCCACACAGCTGGGTAAACTCAGTCTTTGCCCAGAATCAAACATCAACCCATAAGGACTACCTCCACTGACACAGTGAGAATTGCATGACAGTTACCCGAATACAAGAATGAAGCTCTAACGGGACCCGGATCACAACCCTTGTCTCCCAAAGCCAGTTCTTTTACACAATGAATACTCCATGTAGTCAATAAAGCAGATTATTTTCTACAGTTGTCCGAAGGCTGTTCTATTTCACCAACTCATCAATCTGTCCACACTTCAAATGGTACCCCATCCTTAGTACCAACCTCTCCAACAACTACTACAGAAGGTTGAACTGGAACCATATATCCAAAGGACTCACTACTGCTTGCCTGCTTGTGACTACAGCTCTTTCTCAGCAGTCCCCTGCTGCCGAAGGAAGTCCTGAGGCAGAAGGAGAGGCTTTTAGACACCCCCCTTTTTCATGAGATAAATAATGCCCCTCCCCATACTTCTCTCTCAAAATCCAAGGTCAATAAGCCAGCTGTGTGATGCATCCCTATAATCCCAGCATTCAGGAGGTAGAGGCAGAGACGGAGAGATTGGGGTCAGTTGGGGCTACTGAGGAGAAGAGAGCTGGTCTCAAAAAAAGCAAATAAATCAAGTTCGCAGATCCAAGCCCAGTTAAAGGCTTCTTCTAACAAGTGGCCGGTCCCACTTTTTTTCTGGATGGCAGTGTCCTCTGGGCTTACATGTCGGTACTTGCCATGTTGGCTAAGTGTCAGAGAGTGTGAACCCAGGCGGCCTGTGTCTGACTTCATCATGCAACTCTGCCTTCCCAGAGACTACATCCAGACTCCGTATTTCTCAGGCCAAGCAGAGAATCTCATATTCATGGCACTAATTAAATGTCTGTGAGACTGAACTAGCTGTTATTTTTGCCTTGTCACTGCATACACTATATTTCATTTTAAATGCTTGTTTGATATCCATGCCATAGTTTTATGTAGCTTAAAAAAAGTCTACATGTTTTTTTTCCTAATGCCTTATGTATTTTCTCTTCATTGACTGATATGGGATCCATTCATTTCTACCAAGAACCTTTTCTTTCCTATGGAGAGAAAATTTCCATTTTTGCTTCTAAAAGCAGTAGGCTACTGTCACTTTTTTTTACCTTAAAAACCCTAAGTCACATACAAATGAACACATTTAATTTTAGTTCCAAAGAAACCAGTTTGGTATACTTGACTGCACACTTGGTGACATGAGTCTCTCCTAAAGAATCTAAGTCGGTTGGAGAGTTCAGGGATAATTTTTGGTCATTTCATGCACTGGAGGATTAAACTTGGTGGCAAACAGGCTTGATTTTTCCTGTGCTGACCTGATTAATGGGCAGAGCTCTGAAGAGAGCCTGAGCTCCATCAGAGTCAAGGCCAGACAAGATGGTCATTCTCATGCAACAAGTATATTCGATAATTCAAAGACTGCACTTGTTCGGAAGTTTCAATTAACTAGATCGTAACATTTCAAATAAGAACCCACTCACGTTTACTTGCTGATTATATTTTCAGATGCGTCCTTTAAAGATAAAAAGCAACTGAAGAACTGTGAAAACCTTTTCCTTAGCAGTGTTAATCAACTGTCTAGATTTACAGCTAATCCAGTAGTGATGAAGGAGACATAGGTTGTCCCCACCCCTTCAGAGTTCACATCCAAGTGGCGGGCGACAGAAAATGAAGCACACATAACCACAGACACAGGACACAAAAGGAAAAATGCCAGAGAAACTGAGGAAGACAGTGACTGCTTTAGACTGAGTAGTAAGGGAAGGCTCTAGCAGCAGCTGAGTTCTGAGTGACAAAGAGGCATTCTTGGTATTATTAGGACAGAGACACTCCGAGCAGGGGACACACTGAGTGCAAAAGACCTCCTAGAGTCTGGAAGGCAAAGGAAATGGGGCCCAAGGGATAAGCTGGGACTGGAATGTTCTTACTTTATAAACTGTGATAAGTGTATATTCAGTGTTCTAAAGCAAGTGGCAATATGATCCGACCTACTATTCCTTAACTCTTTTAACATAATGGTAGACTTAAAAGATACCAAGAGTATTCAGAATTATGCTATACCCGTCCCCAGCTTCTCCTCTCGTTTATCTTATATTATTATGGCACAGATTCAAAACCAGAAAACATAGATACAATCCTATCAACTAAAGTATAGTCCTTATTTGGACTTATATCAGATTTTCCATTATTGTTCTTTTTTTGTTCCAGACTTTAGCCCTGGACCCCACATAGCGACAAAGTATTGGGTCTCCATCTTCTTCAAGCTCTGACAGTTCCTCATACTGCCTTGCATGTTAAGACTTTGACATTTTCTGAGAGTAGCCCAGAGTTACAAGATGGAACATTCACTTGAGGAGTTGCCTCCATCGGATTGGCCTAAGGGGGCATTTCTGCAATTAATTAATGTGGAAGGGTCAAGCCTACATTAATGTGGAAGTGGTGCCAACCTGGCCAGATGCTCCTGGGTTGTATAAGCAAGCTGGCTGAGCAAAAGTAGGCGAGAGCCAGGCAGTCAGCAGCATTTTTCCATGGCCTCTGCTTCAGTTCCTGGCCCCAGGTCTCTACCCTGACTTCCCTTCATGATGGACTGTAAGATGAAATAAACCCTTTCTTCCCCAGGTTGCTTTTGGTCACACTATTCATCACAGCAACAGAAACCAAACCAGGGGGAAGGATTTATTTTATCTTTTCAGTTTATACCAAGGCAAGGACTAATCCATCTGTCTACCTGTCCATCTATCTCCATACAGTCATAATCAATAGTTATATTTTTTATGATTTATATGTTATTACTGTCATTATTTATCTCGTTGCTTTGACTACAGACTTGCTTCTGTGTCCTTTAAGTCTCCATCCCTTCTCAAGGACTTTTTAAGTTCTGGTACTGCAAGGCGTTCCAGACTCATCTTTAATGTCCCTGTACCAAGCCTGAAGTCAGTCACTCCCCCAGAGGTGTGAGAAAGGGTATGTAGAAAACACGAGCTGAATGTTAGGCGTACTCAGTGCTATGGGCTCTTGGTGCTTCCAGATGCTTTCCAGGCAGGAAAGACACAAATGTACCAGCCCAGGCACACATGCCCATCTGTGTGCCTTTCTGTGCCTATTGACCTGCACAGGTTCACGGCAATGACTTCATCCGCTCCCCACGTGTGCAGTATAGCACCTTCTTCCCTGACCTGTAGCCTCGTTTTACAGACTCTCAACTACACTACATTAAGTTGTTTAACCTCACATGCATACATAAAGTAGTTTTAGAATTGCTGGTCCATTTACTTAGGTTCAATAAATTAATTATCTGCTCCAGTTTTTGTATGTGTTTCCTTTTGTGTTGATTCTTACTCCCCTTCTAAAAATACTGTCTTTTCAGTTATTGAAGTTAATTCTCTTCTTTCTTATCCACCCAGCACAGTGATGTTATCTGCAGTGCAATTCGGTCCATCAGTGACTGTCTGTATCCCACTCTCTATCCCGCACCTGCCCCCCAGGTCCTGCTTAGGTATTTTGTGAGTGTGTAAAATATCACTGTGGTTGTAGGAGTCAGAATTACTGTTCACGTTGCTGGGGTAAAGCTACACCCTCATCTCGAGCACCCTGCTCTTACCCCTCCCTCCCTCCCTCCCTCCCTCCCTCCCTCCCTCCCTCCTCGCTCTTTCTCATGAACTCCATCCCTGCTCAAAATGAGATCTAATTCCTTTCACTGGTGATTTCTCTTTCCTGAATTTCTTCAGCACAGTGTGCATACTCTTTGTAATATTTGCATGTGTCCTTCTTTTTACACATTTATATTTTATTAACTCCCCTTTTCTTGCAAAACTGGCAGCATGCAACATGTATGTATGCTAGTTTTCTTTTGTTTAAAGTGTTACCTTAAAAATCAACCCATGTCAGTTCACAGAAATTTGCTATATTTCTTCTCTATGGCAGCTGCATAGCAACACCTTCACATTAACGGTTCTATTTTTAGTCCTCCATCAAAGTCATGATCTTGATCAGTCTAAGCGGTGCAGAATTCTTCCTTCCTTTCCCAACTGTGATGATATGGCCAACAAACCAACAGCCAACCCCTGCTGACACAATCAGAAGACCACTTCATTGCTGGGACATTGTGTGTGTGTGTGTGTGTGTGTGTGTGTGTGTGTGTAAATAACATATGGTATAGATGCCCACAGAGGCCAGAAGAGGGCACTGTATCCCTTGTAACTGGAGTTGCATGTGTCTATGATCTGTTCAATGTGAGTGTTGGGAACCAAACTCCGGTCTAATGGAAGAACAATATGTGTTCTTTATTGCTGCATCATCTCTCTTGTCCCATTGTTGAGACATAATTTTAACTCTGTACATTATAATGTAACATAAGAAATGCTCATCAGGAAGTTCTATCCACAAAATGTATTCAATGAATTAGCTAATTGTGCCTCCTCTCCCTACCTGGTCATTTAAAAAAAAAAATCGGACACAAAATAACAATGAAATAAAAAATAACCCCAAATCAAAAAGTCTAAAATATAGAACTGAAAGTATATTTATAATTGGGAAAGTAAACAGTATGTCTGCATTCATGATGATCCAGTAAAAAGTTCCCCTAGCCTGATACTAGTTTTGAAAAGTAAAGGGCCTAAGTAAATCAAATGTAAAATTAGTAGAGGTCTCCCTCACATTTGAAAGAACAAAGACATACTCCCTAAGTAGTTCCTGAACTTATTATATGATACATTAAGGCAAAATATCCTGCTTTTTCTCACCATTTGCTCAATATCATACTTAAGTCATACTTACAACATATTCTCTTTTGATAGAGTACAATTGCTTTAGACAAGTCCAAACAGGTTCTCTGAATTGAATGGAATAACTGCAATAAAACACAATAAAATGCTGTAAAACAGACAACAGTGCAAGTAAAATATACTTGAATAAAACCACAATACTCCATTTTTCTGCTAAAAGCAAGACCCTCAAAATTCTATTTGATGTCATATGTAGTAAAACATAGAGAATGATCAATGACCTAAAATCTGTACTCACTGAAACTGACCATCTCTGTTATCAAGTTCCACAGAACAGTTATTTCCTCGACTCTTGAAATAACAGATGAAAAACAAAACATACTTATTTTTTATTTATTTATATTTTACAGCACGTGTAAGCAACTGGATTAAGCAAACAAAAATCAATTGGCAGAATGTTGTCTATCTAGAAGACATCTTTTAAAATGGTGTCGAGCTAAGAACAAACATTAACACCCATTTTCTAGTAATATCACAAAATACATAGTGAGATAACCTCATGCCACACTATGGCCATGATGAAGAAACTTAGGGAGAAGGCAGGAGAACTATATTGAAAGGAATCCAACTAGATTTGAACTCATGGTAGTTTTGTGATGGCTGATGTTGCGTGTCAACTTGACTACATCTGGAATCAATTAAAACCCAAATGGCTGGGCACACCTGTGAGGGATTTTCTTGATTGGATCATTTGAAGTGGGAAGGCCCACCCTAAACCTGGGCCATATCTTCTGGTGGCAGCCCACATAAAAGGACATGGAAGAAGGAAATTTTTGCTTTTCACTTGCCCTCACCCTCACTGGCAAGTTCATCTATACTACTGCTGAGGCATTCCTTTGCTGGTAGAGAACCTACTTCTTTAGGATCCTAATGTAGACGGAAGACCAGTTGACCAGCCTTGTAGGCTGGACAACCACTGTATTCTCAGTCTTTCCTTTGTTGGACTAACCAGACCACAAAAAACCACTCTAATAAATCCCCTTTCATATATTCTTTCTATTAGTTCTGTTCCTTTAGAGAACCCCAACTAATAGAGTAGCCTTGGTCTTTCCTTCAGAAACTGACATCACTCAAGAATAATAAGAGATATTTTGCTTTGGAGAGTAAATGTCTCCCCAAAGCCCTATGCTAAAGGTTGTCTGCCTGTAGGAAGTGGTAGGACCTTTAAGAAGTAGAACCTAGTGGGAGAAAATGAGGTCATAGAGGACACACCCTTGATGGAGTGTTAGGACTCCAGGCTTCTCTCTGTTTCCATGCTATTATAAGGTAAACAGATTTCTTTTGCCCAGGCATTCCTGACATGATAAGCTCCCTCATCAGATCACTAGAAGCAATGGGACTGAGTAATCTTGAGCCAAAAATAACCCTGTTTCTCCTTTTAACCCTATGATAGCTGCTGCAATAACAGAAAGCTGACTAATATGACAGACTTCATACTTTTCCAAACCCCTGTCCATGGACTCAGAGACCATGGCAGGTATCAGTTACCAAAGTTGATAAACATCTTGCCCTTATGGAGCCACTCAGTGAGGCAAGCCAAGGCTTTTCCTCTTTGTATATAGTTGTCTGGCCATGCCAACATGGTCTACAGAGCGAGATCCAGGAAAGGCGCAAAGCTACACAGAGAAACCCTGTCTCAAAAAACAAAAAAAAAAAAAAAAATGTGTCTTGGTATCATAAAGCACTTCAATATTTGAGTGGAAACAGATGATCTCTTCAAAATACATATGACCAAATTACCTAACGAAGGTAGTAAATGAATTTAAAAAGATTAAAATCTGTTCTTAGGAATGTTTAATAGAATAAAATTTGTTTTGTTCTATTAATGAAGAAACAAATTTGCTTATTTATTAAATAACATCCTCAACCTGTTTAGGTTAAAAAAAAAAAGTCTTTCCCCATTAAAAAAAAAAATCAGAAAACCGTCAGAATTTGTTGCTTTGCAGACGCTGACAGCAGGGTTCTAGGCCATAGACCACCAGTGTAAAAGCCAATGCATTCAGAGTCTATAGGAGTAATGTTGTGGTCCATTGTTACTGCTGACTTTTTAAGATCAAGATATTAGTTAGGTGCAACAAAATGCCCAGCATTGGAATGTTAAGTTCTGTGAGTTTTGACAATTGTATGCACTTGTGAACCACACTCAATGCAAGCATTTTCATCATCAATACAGTCCACTCTGCCCTGGCAGCTATTAAAAGACCAAACCTGGCCGGGCGGTGGTGGCGCACGCCTTTAATCCCAGCACTCGGGAGGCAGAGCCAGGCGGATCTCTGTGAGTTCGAGGCCAGCCTGGGCTACCAAGTGAGTCCCAGGAGAGGCGCAAAGCTACACAGAGAAACCTTGTCTCGAAAAACCAAAAAAAAAAAAAAAAAAAAAAAAAGACCAAACCTGAGCATATTTATGTATTAACTTCTCAATTCATTGCAGTACAATAACTATATTTATTTTTATATTTGATGGGGGAATGTCTTTTTGTATGCTGTGAGAATGTGTTGCTCTGATTGGTTGATAAATCAAATGCTGATTGGCCAGTAGCCAGGCAGGAAATATAGGTGGGATAAGCAGACAAGGAGAATTCTGGGAAGAGGAAGGCTGAGTCAGGAGATGCCAGCCCGTTGTCCAGGGAGCAGCATGTAATGGTACACAGGTAAAGCCACAGAACATATAGTAACATGTAGATTAACAGAAATGGGCTGAGTTTAAGTGTAAGAGCTAGTCAGTGGTCGGCCTGAGCTAATGGCTGAGCAGTTTTAATTAATATAAGCCTCTGTGTGTTTACTTGGGTCTGAGAGGCTACATACCAGGCAGGACACAGGAAAACTTTCAGCTATATATATTTATTTATTTATTTGGTTTTTCAAGACAGGTTTTCTCTATGTAGTTTCGAAGCCTGTCCTAGAACTCACTCTATAGACCAGACTGGCCTTGAACTCACAGAGATTTGCCTGCCTCTGTTTCCTGAGTGCTGGGATTAAAGGCTTGCACCACTACTGCCTGGCTATATTTATTTATTTGATATTTGCATGTGTATAAGAAGGCTAGAGGTCAATGTTGTATATCTTCTGTTGTGGCAAACCACCTTATTTTTAAATTTTGTCCATATTATTGTGTGTGTGTGTATGTGTGTGTGTGTGTGTGTGTGTGTGTGTGTGTGTGTGTGTGTTTACCACACTGTGCAGGTGTGTAGGTAGAGGTCAGAAGACAACTTTCAGGAGTCAATTCTCCCATTCTGCAGTGGGTTCTGAGGATCAAAATTCAGTTATCACCTTGTACAGCAAGTACTCCTACTCACTGAATCATCACAATGGCTCACAACCTTATTGTCTGAGACAAGGTCTCTCACTGACTAGCTGGTCAGCAAGCCCCCAGGATCTAACTGCCTCTGCCCGCCCCCCACTACCATGTCCTGCTTTTACATGAGTGCTGGAGATCCAAACTCAGATCTTTGTGCTTACACATCAAACATTTCTCTTGCTCTTAATCTATTAAGAAAGCTTGGTATGGGTACACATTTTCTGGACCAGCAGAGTAAACTAGCCTTCTGCAGATAATTCAGTGTGAGAACACTCCATAATAGTTTGCACATCATTCTCATGTTCTACTGGGGGACCCAATCTTTCTATAAATATCCGTACCTATATTAGCATTTTTGCAACAGAAATCCCTCTGGTGGGCAAAACACTAAGCCACAGGCCAAATACTTTGGATGTGTGGTCTAAGACAGCAGCTATTTAGATGAAGGCATAATTGCTTTAATAAAAATCCTGCTGCAAAAACCTCCACATAAATATAATGTTTAAGACAGTAGCAAATTAAATTAAATATTAAATTACTGTATCTTTGAGACAGGGTCTGGCTGTGAAGCTCAAACTGTCAATCTTCCTGCTTTAACCTCCAGAGTGCTGGGATTTCAGGGCTACTAAGATGCCAAGCTTAACTTTTTGGATAATGCTTGTATTTACTAGCTTGTTTTTTTTAAAAAAAAAAAATCTCTGAGACATGAAAAGCACATACAACTTAGAATGGCTTAAACTGTATTTACGATACAAACATCAGGAAAGACATCTCCTCTCTCTACTCTGTTCCATGGTAGTCTCTTCTGAAACAGCACCCCATCAGCTTCAATTTAATAATTTCCAATGACAGGAGAGAAAGGGCTGAGAACTGATACTGTTTGTACTGTTATACAGTGAGTATTTACACAGTCATTCAGTTGGAAACTGTGCCTGGGACAGGCTGGGGACACAGTGGTGATTAATGCTAACACGGAATTTGACCTTCTACTGGAAAAAAGGCAGGCAAACGAACTTACACCTGAGGTTTTCCCAGGGACCATGCATCCAAAGGGTTTAGACTTCCTGTTTTCCCCAGCAGAGGGATTTCTGTTGCAGAAATGAGTACTACAAGCAAAATAAAGCTAGGCCATGTGTTAGTGAACAGCTGTTTTGTGGGTAGATAGCCAGGGACTTTGAACAGCATGGTGAGGTAAGACTTTTCAAAGTGACTTTTAGGCTATGAGAACTCTGAGAATGAGTCAGTCAAGGAAAGATACAGGGCGAAAGTGTTCAGGCAGACCACGGAAACTGCTTTGACGAGTCTGAACTAGCTGGTTGTACCCAGAGATCTGAGAAAAAGCCATAATGGCTGGAACATGAAATGAATAATATAAGAGTGGTAGAGAGAAAAAAAGAAAGAGAGACCCAGGGGAAGGAGGCAGAGGCCAGGTATGTCAGGAGCAGTCAGAAAGCAGGTTGTCAGGATGATAAGCACTCAATAAATACTACCATCCCTTGAATTACACCCAGTGTAACCTTCATAATAGCTAGAACAAGTAAGCATTCTTATTGCAGGGGCAATAGCAGCTCAGATCTTACTGTGTAGGGCATCTACTGTCTCAAAGTCAGCCCATCTCTCATTAGCCTAAACCTTAGAAAGTCCAGTCTTGGTTTGCCTCGGCCCTCAGATTCATAGTAGGAGTGTGCTCCTCTTCCACACAGAAGACATTGCTCTGTAACTGACAACTACCATGGATGTCCCCTTAGCCCTTTGCTAGAACTCAATGACCATTCTAGAAAATGCTTTGAAATTTTCAGCTTTTAATTGCAGTCTCACGAACTCATTAACTCATTAACTTTAGCTGCCATATTAAACTTAAGAGATTCTACTATTATCCAAGGAACATAGTATTCCTCAGTGACCTGCCACTCACAGAATTAATGTTTGCTTTCAAAATGTAAAGAAAACTACAGGCAAAAATGTCCAGCAAGACCTTCTACTCATACTAATGCTGTAGATCAACTGTGTAATGAGTCTTTCTCTGTCCTGCCAACCAGCTTGCAAATAATGACATGGAGACTTATTATTAATTACCAAAGCTCAGCCTTAGCTTAAGCTTGTCCCACTAGCTCTTATGATTTAAATTAACCCATTTTTTGTTATTAATCTATGTTCTACCATGTGGCTTCTAGCTCTGTCCCATTCTGTGTGTCCTACAAGTTCTGTGTCTGGCTGGTGTCTCTGCCTTTCTCCTTCCTAGAGTCCTCTCTGTCTCTGGAAGTCCCACCTAACCTCTTCCCACCTAGTCATTGGCCATTCACCTCTTTATTAGAGCAATCAGAAGACACCTTGGAAAAGACACATCTTCACAGTGTAAACAGATATTCCACAACACAACTGGATATTAACTCATTTGCTATACAGTTTAACTAAATATCTGCTTAATTCATTTTAGAATTTTCCATGGCTTAGTAACAACCCTACTAGACTCTACTCTAGAGGTCATTTTGTTTGTTGTTGACTAAACATTTGCCTGGCTTTAGTGTTCAATTCTAGTTTCTCAGATATAATGACCAGATTTTTGATTGTGCTTGATATTTCAACAAACACTTCCTTGAATTTACCATACACCATGCATTCCAACTTAGTGCTTGAAAACACATTAAGAGAGGTATGCTAGGGTCAGATTTTGTAGATTAAAAACTATGCTAGAATTGAATTGATGTGATCCTAGGTGTTCCTCACTGTCTAATGTGAGCAAACTAAGACCATCTAGCAAATTCACTCTAAGGTCTTGACTCTTGCAAGGTAGTTTTGCTGGGCCCAAGAGCTCTGAAGAGCCTACCTCTAGCTTGGCATCCAGGTCTGCATCAGAGGCAACAACATGCTCATCTTCCTTCTTCCCTGTGGCCTTGATAAAGGCCTGCTTCGTTTCCCAATACTTCTGTTGCATCTTGTTGACAACTGACTTATCTTGAGCAAACCGGTCCTGCAGCTCCCAGGAATAGCTGCTAAAAACAGGAGAGAGCTATCTTACTCATGGCTCTCAGAAGGATTAAGATAGTATACTCTTTGTAGTATTTTAGCTAGCTATGACTTTCTAGTGTACATTTACATTATTGATAAACACACGAATGCTTTCTTATGGGGTTATTATACCATGAAAATCAATTAATTCTTTCTCACCCCACAATTTAAAAAATTAGAGTGGGAAAATTCTCAATCTTAAGAAAAATCAAGAAATTGAGCATCAGAAAGAATGTAGATATATATCTTAGGTTGGGCACACTCCTTTAGGGGGTGGAAAGAACAAGGTCAAGGAAGCCAGTAACTAGCTCAGGACAGCCCCGTGAGTCAGAGATAAGGACAGACAGCAGCACATCTCTCCACACCTCCATTATGCCACAGTGGGGTGACAGCAGAAAAGGAGATAAGAGGCTGAAAAATAGCATGTCTAAAATCTGCTACAGAGGCATCTAAAACTGTCAGACTCAGAGTCAGGGAGAAGAATGGAGGCTGGGTCTGGGGGACGGGAAATGTGGGGAATGGCTAATCAAGTCTTAAGGTTTTAGTTATGCTGAAATGAGTAGGTTCTGGAGATCTGCTACCACTGGACCTATAGTTAACAACACAAATTGTGCACTTGAAACTTTATTAAGAGTGTAGATTTAGTATTAATTGGTATTAAAACAATGAAGTAAAAAAATTAAATTCTATAATCTGCTACAGATTTCTGGGTGATAAAAACTAAATTCTTCAATATAAATGCTTAAAATATAGATAGGAAATCACTCCTTAGGAAGACTGTAATGAGAAGCAAATATAAAATATGTAAAGAAGAATTAGAAGACAACTGATAATGACATCGAACTCCCTAAAAGTGACCAGAGGGCCCCAAATACTGATAGGAGGTTTGCTCTTGGCGCTCCATCCCTCCTCCTTGCTCTGTCCACATCCCACTTGCTTCAGTCCCTGCTACAAAAGCCCAACCCCCAAACAAATCCTCCTTCCCCCCACCCCAGCCCATCAGCACTCTAGATGTGCCAAGTTGATGTTCTAAAGCAGGAGCTGCTTTATAAGATTGGAGCAAGATGCCGTATCTCAACCTTGATGACTTATAATCTTCATCTGTAAGTCCATTATGCTTACTTATAATGTCAACTCACGTTTAGTCTTAAAAAGTCAGAAAACCTGTCTGAGGGTGTCTTTAATGATACTTATCTTTGGTGAAAGAGGTAGGATTCTGTGAGAGTGTTATTTATATCTTTCTTAATTAGCTAAGAGATTATTTTGGTTCCATATTAGAGAAAATAAGATAAAACAGTTATACCTTATATAAAAAAGATGACATCTCTGTATAATGCATATGTTAAAAGATTGGAAGGATCTAGCCCAAATAGATTATTTTAGGGAAATGGGATTCTAAAAAATGAGGTATTGATGGACTTTGTATTGGATCTGTTTTTGGGGGTAGGGAGAGTTCAATAATTATAGATCAACAGAAAAAAGTTCCATTTGGAGTTAAAAAACAAAAACGAAACAAACAAACAAACAAAAATGACGGGAGTGCTTTAGAAGTCTAGTAAGCCCCTCATACACCCGTCACTTAACAAATAGGAACTGCTACTGTGGGATGGTCTGTATGTCAAATGTGTTGCTGATTGGTCAATAAATAAATCACTGATTGGCCCGTGGCCAGGCAGGAAGTATAGGCGGGACAAGGAGGAGAACAGAGCTGGGAAGTGGAAGGCTGAGTGGAGAGACACCGCCAGCCGCCATGATGACAAGCTGCATGTGAAGATACCGGTAAGCCACAAGCCACGTGGCAAGGTATAGATTAATAAAAATGGATTAATTTAAGCTGTAAGAACAGTTAGCAAGAAGCCTAAGAACAGTTAGCAAGAAGCCTGCCACGGCCATACAGTTTGAAACCAATATAAGTGTCTGTGTTTACTTGATCGGGTTTGAGCGGCTTGGGACTGGCGGGTGAGAGAGATTTGCCCTGACTGTGGGCCAAGCAGGAAAACTCTAGCAACAAACTGCAGGTTTCAAACTGTTAAGGACACAGAATGAAAAGTGAGACTTTGCAGTATATCTTCAGCAAGCCCACAAAGCTGAGCTCTGAAAGGGTCTACCTACATCTTGGGGCTATCTAGTCCCTAAATTGGTAACTACTGAGAATCCCAGGTCATGGCTGTCACTGTGAGGGTGCTGAGATGGAGCCAGCTCAGGGACATAACAAGGCAAGATGAAACAATTTAACAGTCTGACAACTGTTGGATGAATGCTCAGTGAGAATGCTCAAGGATAGCCTTAGCCATTATTAATTATTTAAAAAAACTTATATTTAAGATATGCAAAAATTCTTTTGAAGTTTAAAGTTTGATATTACAGAGCACTTTAGGCCCGATCCTTTTCTTGGTAAGAAGGGAAGGATTCAAAAGTATATTTCATGTAACTATTTTAACATATGAAAATAAAACTATTGTATTTTTTTCATGACACATATTAAAGAAGGTGAAACTTGACAACTTTCTAGTTGTTTGGTGGGTAGCAGGTTCACCATGCTAAGAAATACCAATTAAAGAGCTTCTAAGAGGCTCTCTTGCTGCTTAGATGTGTTACAGGCACATACATGACAAAGCTAACATGTATACCATATCTAACTCTGATTGGCTTCTGAATGTTCACAAAAGATGTAGTGTCTACAATTTAATAAAACTGAAATAGTGCTTGATTGATTACATGATTGCTTTCGGCACCCCACATAACATTGCACTGTGCCTCCAACAGTGGAAGTTACAAATAAGACAGTAGCAAAAATGCACCACCGAGTTATTAGGTTATATGAAATGGTGGTAAGAAAAATTATCCTTAGATTCCTAAGAGCAGATGTCTACCCAAGTGAATTTCTTAGCAAATACAAGTGATGTGAGTATTTATAACACTTTTGTTGCTTCGTTTTTATCCAGCATTGATCAGAGACACTAAAGCAGGCTACACTAACGTTGGAAACTGGATAGTTGGCTATTCACAGCTAAAGTCTCTTGACTGTCCCTTTTTGTCCTCATTTATTAAGCATAAACAGTGCAATTTCCATTTATCATCCTCCAGTGGAAAAACAGGCAACAAATTCCTTACCATTTGTGTCCTGACATGTTTTCTTCTTTTTCTACTGTTGATGATTTGAGAAGGGGCAGAGAAAAACCATGATAAGATATGTTATATTAAACCTGAAATAAAACAAATACATTTAACAGTTATACACTACATTACAACTGTGTGTTAATTCAACACATATTTTCAGTCTAGCCCAGGTCTAGTTGCATGATAAGGATCAGATACTGTTCTAAAATAATGCCAGGTATTGATGTCAAAAATGGTTTTGTTGAGTAACCCTAGAGCAAATATCCCAAATGAAGCTTTAGGAAAAGAATAGGTAGGATAATGATTAAAAAAAACAAACAAACAGATGTCATAAGACTATATCAAATATGCTGTCATTTATATAGTTTAAAATGCATGAAATAATGCTATATTATTGACATACACCAATATCATATAATTTATTTTGAAAAGCCCTCTTCAAAGTCTTTAGTGTTCATCTTTTTATAAAACAGTTGTTTGAAAAGAAACAAACAGCAACAAATAAATGGATCCAACTGTGACAAGGTCAGAGTGCAGAATATGGACCCACACCAACTGTGCATATTAAAATGTTAAAATGATCACAATTTTTAAAAACACTTACTTAGTATGTGTGTGTGTGAATGCACATGCTGTGGTGTTTACATAGAGATCGGAGGACATTGAGGGTCAATTTCTGCTTGTATCATCTGGGTTCTGTGGATCTAACTCATATTGTTAGGTTGGTGACAAGAGCCATAATCTGACAAGCCATCTCACTGGTCCAGTTTTATTGCCCTCTTTTATATAATTTTAAATTAAATTTACTTTAATTGATACATAAAACATAACATTCTACATTCTAATGGAGTACTATGATGTTTTGATATAAAGAATTTGCTAGAAATGATGAACTCTTTGTTCCAAACAGAAGAACCCTGTAGAGAGGGTGCAGGATATGGTTTGAGAGTGATGTAAAGTGCTTTCAAGTGTACATGGAGCATCTTCATTGTTTAAGACACATGGTGAGTATTAGCATCTTATTATTTCATACTCAAGATCTTAGGGAGATAAATCAGAAATTGCAAAAACAAAACAAAACAAAAAAAGACAAAAAAATTAAAAACCCAAATCCCCAAAGATCCAATGGGATAGAACTGGATTCTAAGAGGGCAGTGGAGGAGGATATATACCTACATCAAGCCAGCAATTCATTTTAATTTCTTTAGTAAATATGCATGTTGTAGAATATTATTTTAAGGTGTGTTACTTTTGTTTATGTTGCATTTGTTCAGCTCTATGAAGCTGTGCTACTTTGCCTGTCTAAAACAGCTGAGTGGAATAACAAAGCACTGAACGGCCAATAGCAAGACAGGAAAAATGATGGGCAGGGCTGGCAGGCACAGAGGAGATCTAGAAGGAGAATTCTGGGAGGAAGGAGGAGAGAGATGGAAGAAAAAGAAGAAGTAGTAGCCAGAGAAGGAGGAGGACTCCAGGGGCCAGCCACCCAGCTACACAGCAAGCCACAGAGTAAGAGTAAGATTTACAGAAGTTAGAGAAAAAGAAAAGCCCAGAGGTAAAAGGTAGTCAGGATAATTCAAAGTTAAGAAAAGCTGGCTAGAAACAAGCCAAGCAAAGGTGGGGCATTCATAATTAAGAATAAACCTCCGTGTGTGATTTATTTAGGAGCTGGGTGGTAGGTCCCCCTAAAAGAGCCCAGAAACAACCAACAACATATGGGGAGTTGCCTATGTTTTTGCCCTCAGTCTGCTTGCTCCCCTCATGGAAGCAGGCCAACCCCAAGGGCAAAGTCCACCAGCTGCCCAGACAGCAAGCCAACCTCCCGAGCAGTTCTGAAAGGGCCTCTGCCGAGCATAAGACCTCTTGCTGCCAAGTGTGCACTTGGCATGCATGCTAGCACTTCTGGATGCCTGTCAAATCAACCGATCACTATATCTCAGGCAGGTCTGGTGACCAGCGTACTTAAAATTATGTTGTTGTTGGTGGTGGTTGTTTTTTGTTTTTAAAAATGTTTTAAGAGAATGGCAGTGAGTATTTAAATTCTCTGCTTCAGTTATTGGGATGAGAGGGGGAAATGGACTCTTCCTGAGTATCTGAAATCACAGCAACCCATTACTCACACCTCTCTTCTTTCTCTTCCTCATAGAGGGCATCCGGGTATCAAGACAAGTTGCCTCAGGAAGGATACTTAAGATGAGTGTGCTTTGACCATGGATGGGCTATATTCAAGCTCTCACCTCCACATTCATACTCCAACTATACATTCACTTAACACCCCCAACAAAAATTATCATAAAATGCTCAAAAGAAATGAAATTACTATACTCTTTCACTCAGTTTGATTTACCATGAACTGTTAAGGGAATTAGTACTTTTTGATTCTTTTTGTTGTTGTTATTGGAGTAAAACTATTTTTTTTAATCTCAGTTTTTGGATGGATATATGCAGGTGTGGATGCATTAATGTATGTGCATGTATGTGTGGACATCATTTGTCAGTGGCTGTCCACCTTGTTTTATGAGACAGTATTTCTCACTGAGACCTGAGGATCACAAGGGATTCCCTGGTCTCTCCCTCCCCAGAGTGGGGCTTATAAGCATGTGCCACCATGCTTGACTTTTTATGTGGGTTCTGGGGTCAAACTCACATCTTTATGGGCTGAGATACCTTTCTCATTTTTTTTTTACATGTACATGACAAGATATTGTAGGGCATTTCTCACACAGATCTCAAGAATGTTTCATCTTGCATGACTGAAACTTCATACCTATTGAACTGGCAACTCACTATTAATCTGTTTGGCCTTGACAACCACCTTGACATTCACCATTGTGAATTTGACAACTTTAGATACCTCATTATTAGTGTAACCATGTAGTATTTGTGTTTTGTGAATGGATTCTTTTACTTTGCATATTTCCTTATAGCATGGTAGAATCAACCCCCTCACTCCCCTTCAATACTAGCAGTCCATTGCATATATTCACGCACCACTGACACATAGGTTACTCCCACACTTAGCTACTATGGACAACGATGCAATGAACACATGTATCATATACTTCTTCAAGACTCTTCTCTTATATAAATGATTTGTAATCAGAAGTGGGATAGCTATGGTAGTTGTTTTGTTTGTTTTTGATCTACACTAGCTTTTACAGGGCTAGGTCTACACTGAACATTCCTGTAGCAGGACATACGGTCCCAGATTTTCCTTGCCATTAAGAGTCCCTTTTCTCCAGAGAGCATTATTAAGCATCAATTGACAGCTCATTTTGGTTTTAGTTTGCATTCCCCTGATTATCAGTGATTCTGAGCATCTTTCTGTAGTTTTGTTGACAGTTTGTTTTTCTTAGAGAAAGGTCCACTCAATCCTTTCCTCATTTTAAAATTGGACTATTTTATTGTTGTTGAGTTCTTTGCACATTACATCTATACGGTTTGCAAATGTTTTTTTTTTTTTTTTCCATTCCATCGATGGTCCTGGATTTTGCTTCAGTCAATTGTTTGCTTTGCTGTAACATTTTTGATTAATTTTGATCATTCAAATATCTACCCACTTTAGTTCTTTATACCAACAACAAATATCACTGAGCAAACCGCGTCTCCTGCACAGACTCTCTGGATGTGACCGGATGACACCCCATCTGGCAGTGTCCCGCAGCGCTATAGCCAAGGCACTGCACATGGCGCGCCGGTGCGATGAGAGTCCTGGCTCCTTCCCTACTGAACTAGAGTTTCTGGGAAAGGGTCTGCAAAACCATAGTTACAACAAAATTTGCATATTAATATGATTTCTAAGCATATGAAAGTCTAAGAACTGTGGCTAAATGCAAGGAAAACCTTTCTGGAAATGGATCTTTCTTGAAGAAACATGACAAGGTGCAACAAAAATCATGGTTAACCAAATAGGTAAACCACGCAGGTATATCTGAGTAACGCATGCTAAAGCAGCTACAGTTGGAGCCTCCATCTCTTCTTGTACATGTTCAAACACCACACACCAGGGACAACTAAAAACATCTTAGGATTTCTAGACCCAACCTATCCCAACTTGCTCTATCATTTTCTAAACTGACAGTGTCACAGTCACTAGTTAAAAACTGTTATGGGGTTGGTGGCATGTCGCAGTAGGTAGAAGTGCTTGCCTTACCAGCCTGACAACCTGAGTTTGATCCCCAGAACTGATACAAAGATGGAGAAAACAACTGACTTCCACATTCAGGACATCCCCTTCTCTCTTTCTCATACCCCCCATGCCAATAATAATAATAGACAAAATTAAAATCATCTTAAATCTTCACCCTTTCATCTCAGCTTGACATTTTAGTTAATCAAACATTCACTGGACACTAATTAATATGGAATGGGCATTGCCTTTGACCAGAAGTGACTTGTCAATTAAATTAGTTCTATCCAATAAAAAAACACTATTAGCTACAGAGTAGTTAAAAAGGATCTGATGGCCATAGTAAAATCAAAATAATGAAATTTAAATTTAATTTATTATTTAACCTAACATCTCTAAAAATATAATTTGAAGAAGTAATCAATATAAAAATTTCTAGGCTATATTTCTCATTCACATGTGAGCTAAGTCCAAAATATGTTGTATATTTTACTTACACATTAAGTTTCAATTCAAACTGATCACATATTTCATAGCCTCCTGGGGTTAGTTTACAGTATTAGAGAGTGTACAGTTAATAGTAAAGGTAGATACTTAAACATACTTTAGAGAATCAGAAGACATTTGAAATTTGTACAGGCTCATATAAGACCAAAGATCTGCATATTTATAAATTCTCCTGCAAAAACATTTCATTGTAAAAGAGAATAAAGCTGTCAATGGTATCAAGTTGATCATAGACTTCAAGTGCCACAAAGACAAGGGCACCAATATCTCCATCAGTGCACCCTTGGGCACCAATATCTCTATCAGTGCACCTTGGGCATCAATATCTCAATCAGTATACCTTGGGCATCAATATCTCAATCAGTATACCTTGGGCATCAATATCTCCATCAGTGCACCCTTGGGCACCAATATCTCAATCAGTGCACCTTGGGCATCAATATCTCCATC